AGCCTGGGGGTGTCGAGGAGAGAAATTATCAAGTTACTAAAGCCTTCTAACTGCTGAAGGTATTGCTAAATAGCACTAATGTGTGCCGTGTTAAGTGAAGGCTGAGATAGGCGTCGTACTTCGCCTTCGGATGTTGGAGGAGAATAGCTTGAGACTATTCATCATATGTCAATCAGTCCCGTGAGCTTATTTGTTCACGCTCAGTCCACAGTTCAGTCATCTCGTGGAGCGCTTGCTTTACGTCTTGGTGGCTTTCGCCTTTTGACCGTATCACATCCACCTTCAAAATAGTCCCCCTTCGATAGCATTGGTCTCGCGACTAGACAGACATCCATAGCCTGGAAACATCCACGCATCACGTGCTAACCTCCACTTTCTTATCTTTTAATCCTCTAGTGGCCATTGATGGGAGCCAATCTCTCCAACTTCCCCCTGAGCCTGTCAGCTCCACTCTTCCACCTCGGCATGGGAGGTAGGTAGATACTGATTTCCATTCGTTATAAGTAATAGCGTCCCATCTCGGTCGATTCAACAGAAGTCCATGAACTTCATCCCCACCTGTAGGCATCTTTGGACTCTATCTCCTCTATTGGTTCAAACTGGACATGTTCACTACTCTTCGTTACCTTCTCTTCCTCGGCATCTTCACATTCGTTGCGGGCAACAGGCTTCTGCGCCACATAGTTACCGAGCAACGCAAATCCCAGGAATAGCTGCGCCATTCTCCGTATGATGATGATAAGGCGTTTTTGAAGTTGTCTTTTGTAACATCAATGGTGATAATGTCAAATAATAGCTTCCTATAGGTTGTTCAACTGAATTTGCTTTTTTTATCTGTGAGGAGCAGCAATGGGAGGGAAGAGGGGATAGTGGGTGGTGTAAAAAGGACGCACACTTGGTGTAAAAATGATTTATTGAATTTCCAATTCCACGATCCAGTGGGAAGGAGAAGGAAGTCAGTCTACAATATCGACAACAGAAAAGAGAACTAGAGCATATTCTCCTAGTAATGTAATGAAGGAGTTGAGGAAGAACGACTTACGAGACCAAAATCGACGTAGAGCGAAGGCTATTGCACAAGCAAATCCTACAGGACCGAGAAGGAAAACGGAGAATCCGAA